CCCCAAAACCCCAAAACCCCAAAACCCCTTAAATATGATTAAATTGATTATAGATAAATAAAATTATATAATAAATTTAGCATTAAGTTTGAAATGGAAAATAATATAGAAAATTAGATCCAGAATCCAAATTATTTCATTATAGACAAGCCGATTCATAATTTCACACCTCTTAAATGATAGCAACTTAAAGATCCCATTAATAATATTCAACCTTAAAACAATTGGACTCCTTTGTCTAAGTAATAGATACTAAGTGCAAAGGTAAATAACTAAAATAACTTATCCTCAATTCATGAAACTCATGATGCCCTTAATTATATCAAAGCCAATTCTAGTAACCCAAGTTAAATTGACATTCTGATGAGTTAGTATGAGTTAATCAATATGGAAAAAAATATTTGAAGAAATAGGGATGAAATAAACAACATTAAGAAGAGAGATTATTTACTTTTGCCTTCTCAAAATCCAAACAATGCTTACTATGCTTTAGATCCCAAAGATGATTTTGAACAAATGAGAAATGAATTTGTAGTACCGAAATCCCACACTCAGAGATCATAAATAGCAATCAACAAACCAAAAAATTTCATGATGAAGCATTAAGACCATTTAAGCCAGAAATCTTATCTGATAAACGACATGAAATACATTTCTATTGATTAATAGAAAGAATGGGAAAACTAAAAGATAAAAGAAGAAGCCAAAAGAAGACTTGAGAATAGTTTATAGATTGAAAGATAATATAATGATAGTTAATCTTATATGAAACTTAAAAATGAGAAATCGGCTTTTATGAGAGCGTAGTTTATTAAGCTTAAACTTGATAATCACATTAAGAAAAACTAAGATAGGGAGCGGAAATAGTTCAAATTGCCCAACTTAGATAATATCGTGTCTAGAAATTGTAATAATATAGATAAGTTAATGTTTGACAAATGAAGTGAAAGTTTAGCTCTGCCAGGTGATGAGAACGGAACGATAATCTTGTAAAAGCCTTATAGCATACAGTAAATGCTGAAGTATTCTGGATCAACTAATCAAGAAAGTGCAAATAAACTTAATAGTATGAAACTGCCACTACAACTAAATAGCATAAACACTTAGAAAGATAACTATAACATGATCTTAATCTAAAATAGGGCTAAGAGTTCGCTTTTGTCCAAAACATTCGATGAAAAAAGGTAGAGATTAAAGGGAGATAATTTAAGTGAAGTCAATATGAATAGTGGATTTACAGGTGGTGATTAGATTATGAATTATTATGAGAGTATGAAGTACATGACAAGAGAGGAAAAATAAAAAAGTAACTTTAATGCTTCAGTTATTAAAATATAATTATGAATTTTTATGAACTATATAGAAAATTTACAAAAATATAATCATTGCGGGGTTTTGGGGTTTTGGGG